CAATAATTAGAATATATTTAGGAGATAAAATATGATTAAAATCAAAATTATTATTTAAAATAATATTTAGGAGATAAAAATTAGATAAAAATCAAAAATAATATTTAGGAGACAATAATCTGATAAAAAACAAAATTAATATTTAGGAGATAAAAAACTAATAAAAACATGATAAAACTCGAAAAAAATATTTAAAATATTATTTAGGAGATATAACTTTGATAAAATTCGAAAATAATATTTAGGAGATAAAAATCTGCTAAAAGTTGAAAATTATATTTAAAATTATAGTTAGGAGATATAAAATTGATAAAATTAAAAAAATATTATTTATAATTATATTTAGGAGATAAAAATTTGATAAAAATAAAAAATAATATTTAGGAGACAAAAATCTGATAAAAATAAAAAATAATATTTAGAGGATACAAATATGATAAAATTCGAAAATAATATTTAAAATAATATTAAGGAGATAAAAATTTGATAAAAATTGAAAAAAAATTACAAATATGACATTAGGGTTTCTTAGGGTTGCCATAGCGTTTCTTTCTTTCTTTTATATATAAGATGTATGTATGTATGTGTGTAGTCGTTTTATAACTTATTTCTATCCCTCATAAACACATATTTATTAATTAAAACACTAGTATGATTGAAAACTTGAAAACATTGAAATCCAAACAATTAACAACTTCTTCGGCTGAGCCAAAAATAAAAAGAATAAACCTAATATTTGCAATTTACATAGAAAAATTAATGAGGCAGGTCAGCTTTGATTACTCATGGTAACAAACAACATTTCGCAGCTTTAATAAATATGCATGAAAAAGGCTGTATATAATAACTGACATGCGGCACCAGAGAGTGAGATTTAGTAACTAACTGGCTTGGGTTTTCGCAGCTTGAAGCATTTCTACTATCAGTGTCTTCACATCCCTACAATCAGTTATTACTCTAATCATTAAGTCTATGAACGAGAATAACAGAAAAAATTAACGTCAATTTCCATTTATCCTTGGTCTCAATATATTCTCGTTGCTCCACATTATTATTTTTTATAATTTATATTTTGTTACTGTTACTCACTTTCTGTCTGCCGCACGCCTTGTAAAAGGGATTCGGAGCTTGAAATTGTTTCCTTGGTAACCAACCTTGAAACAAAATATACAACAAATTAAACATGTATTAAATATCAGACAGTAATAATGATGGAGGGATTTGGGGAGGGATTTGATTTGAGGAATGGATTTGAAATGACTCCAATTTTGGAGTCATTTGAAATCCACCACTATTGCTCCAAAATCAACTAAAAAGGAGGGGTGGGGATTTGAAATCCATCTCCAAATCCCTCAATCCAAACAAGTCCGAGGGATTTGTTATTATGGATTTGAAATCCCTCCCCCAAATCCCTCCATCCAAATGCACCCTAAAAGTGAAGTCAATGTATGCACAACATATACAACCTTGACATTGAAACCCAGACTGTCTATATCCAACATGTAGGCAAATTCCACCTGAAAAATATACGAGTTATTTCAATTTTGATTTTGATACTTGTTTTAACCCTGAAGATGGGATTGATGTGAAACCACTGTACATTCTCTTTAAGTAAGTTAGTTAGTTAGTTAATGGAAATAAATGATTTAAGTAAAAATATTGCAATATTACCGGGACAGACGTAGAGTAGTGCACCATCAGCTTTGTATCTTCTGAATGATCTTTATTCATGTGGGACTGAAACCAAATTTAGAATCTATTAGAATTTATAGTGAAGAAGACAAAATGACAAAAATCCTAACACTGAAATGGTCCTACTGTTATGGGCTTAGAAAATTGATATATAGGATCCACTTTTGCCGTTGTAAATTCCTCCTTGCTGAATTCTGCAAAGGTTACATCAAAATTACCATAAAATCATCTGAAACGAAGAGACCCACAATAATATAGTGTAATGTACTATACGAACACCTCCTGATCCTAATAAAGCTGTTGCAACGCCCGACACATATCTAACAACTTGGGGTTCAATGCGCAGGAATTGGAAGTCACCAAAGTCAACCTTCATACAGGTTTGTTTATCTCAGTATGTATTTCAAGAAACACTAGAATCATATGAAGATATGAAATATACAATTAAGAAAATCAAAAGTTACCCAAAATGCATCAGGATGTCTAGCCAAATAAGCAGTACGAATAGTTTCCCTCTCAGTTTCACTAACCTATAGAAATTTGATGTCAGACAAAGGGGTGCAAAATAGAACAAGGAAAAAAACAGTGGTGGCCTTACTGGGATGGCATCACCATGCACTGTAATAACTAGGTCGGTTCTATCCTCTGAATCTTTTGCTACAAGCAATGAGCATTTGGGATTAGCTACAAGGTCCTGCAACAATTCATTCACAAAATATAAAAATGAACTCCAGGAGTCCGATTGGGTTCAGGTGCTCCTCCTCATATCACCCAAAAACAAGTAAACAAGTTACCTTTGTATGAACGGCCAAACTACTAACTGCTAACAGAGGAGATCCATAAGCATCACAAGCAAAGTCCACCATGGAACCTGATGGATACCCCTTGTACTTCTATAATATGTTTTAAGGAAATTGGAGTGTTAGCTAAACTACCTACCTAATGAACATATATATACAAACACAAACACGAAGAGATGCATGTATCAATAAAGCACAAAGGGGATATACATTAATTAATTAATTCATGTAATGAGTAATCATATGAAAAAAGAGAGAGATCATAAGAGGAGGTAGGCAGGCGGGTGAGAGAGTGAACCAAAGAGAAAGTAGAGAGGACTCCGCGAGAGATGCTGTAGTGGAGAAGTGTCTTAATTTCCTCAATAGGAGGTAGCCTAGCAGCTTTTTCCTGATAATCAAGTAATTAACCAAAATCATTGAATCATCGAATCATCGAATCATTGAATATTGAATATTGATTTTTTTTTACAAGCCAGTGTAGTGGTGTATAATGTATATTAAGGAAAAATACTTGTCATCATAAAAAAAAGGAACCTGGTGCGCTTGGATGAGTTGAAAGACATTCAGTTCATCGGCAGTGGAAGCATTCTGTGGAAAAAAATATCCAATTTGGGGTTTTAATTAATATGTATAAAACAAAAAATGAAATTGAATGAAAGTAAAATTGATTGAATGAAACCTGATTGGTGGGGGATGAGGAAGACATGCGTATTTGATTGAATCGGGAGACGAGGAGTGAAGTAGTAGTAGTAGGATTAATCTTATCATAATTATTAGCAATTGATCTACAAAAATACGATGATGATGATGATTTGAAACAGAGTGGGATGGACGACGGAGGAAGGCGGTGCATTACAACACTCTTCATCATCTTCTTCTTCTTCTCCTCCGATTAGAGTTGCAGGTGTGTGTATTTTGTGAATGTGTAATTGTGTCTTTTCTGCTCAGATTATGTTTGGTCCAAAATCACTTCCGTAAATGGGCTTTTCTAAATTATCCGTATATATATATGGGCCTTGTCTGTACGTACTTTAATTTCTGCTAATTAATTTCTGCGAATATGTATGTTATTATTATTTTCTTAATAGTCTTTAGTTTTAGGAAATAAATATTATTATTGGACAATGAACTAATTAATTACAAAGCCAACTTAAAACCACCAAAAAAGAAGAATTATTACATAAAAGTTAAAAGAGCCCTCAACAAGTCAAGTCATATATTTATATGTACTTGCTAATTAAAAAGAAAAGAAACAAAAAGAAAAAGGTTGAGCTTGAGGTTAAGAGGAGGAGGGTGGTGATTGAGCATGGAGATACCCTTTGTGTTCCAAGAAAGTAACCACCTGTCCAGCCATTTCATTTGGTGTAGGGCATTCTCCATCTTCTTCCTTTTGCTTTATCTCTATCTGTATGTACATATATATTAGGTGTATGGACACATGTTGTTGTAACACTTAATTAATTATTTAGTTTCACACAGACACACACCTCAGAATTCAAAGGAGCTTCATAAGGATCATCTATTCCTGTAAATCCTGCAACATACACATTAATTAATAAACTCTTCTTACTCAAACAACATCTACTGTTTTCATACAGATGAAATAACACACCTTTTATCTTCCCTGCCCGCGCAAGCTTGTATAGACCTTTCGGATCCCTTCCTTCACACAACTCTAGAGGCATGTTTAGGAATACCTGCTATTCTTTTACCAATTTAACATGCATCCTAAATACCACCCTTTTTTTTCTTTTTTGACATGATTTAATAAAAATTAAACTAACACCATCACAAAATTAAACTTGCCTCGATAAAATTTTCTGGCAATAATGCACGACAAGCATCACGGTCTTTACGATATGGAGATATCAGACTAGCTATGCAAATTAATCCAGCATCAGCAAACAGCTTCGCCACTTCCCCTATATACATACAAATTATCTTTGTTTATGTCAAACACAAATAATACTTATCAAGCACCAGGTTAACCTGAAAAGAGAATCTTCTCATACAATCATATGTATGTGGTGCCTATCTATATCTAAGCATAGCGACTTATGGTTACTGTTACTATATAGTTTTCTCAACTATGAATACAAATTCCACGAGGAAATAACACAACATAACTTTTGCAGTTTGCTTGTTTATTCCTTAAGAAATCGTTTACTTACCAACCCTACGTATATTTTCAGTCCGATCTTCCGGTGCGAAACCTAGATTCTTGTTTAGACCATGTCTAAGGTTGTCGCCGTCAAGAACATACGAAAGTTTTCCACGAGAGTGCAATTGTCTACCCAGTGAGCATGCCAGTGTACTTTTCCCTGCACAGATGGATTAAAGCACATTTCACAAACGATGAAATATAATCTAAGCACGGGTGTACAAAAGTTTGGATCTTTATTATTAATGTTCCTAGGAGTGTCTATCCATAATGCTACAGTTTGGCAGCACTTACTAAGAATTGAAACAATTTGTATCTAAAAGTGATGAACAGCGTTATTTTTAAGACAGGTTGAACAACAGTAAGAGATATGCAAGGAGGCATTTACAGTTACAAGAAATATAAACTTACTCAAGACACGAAGAGATAGAAATTCGAGAAACCTAAACCACCGGACAAATCCGAGAAACTCACAGAATGAAAAAGAAATAAGAATATTGACCTGATCCACTTAGACCGGTGATCCATACAATACATCCCTGTTGATTGAGCAATGTTTGCCTGTCAAGCTTCCCGATAGGACATTCGTGCCAGAAGATGTTTGTAGAATTGCCCACAGTAGACATTTAAGAAAAAACTAGTCTTTGTTTTTTTTCTTTCTATCCTGTTAAGATACAGACAATCAGATTCTTCTAACAATATAATATTAACCAAAAGGGTTAAGACAAGATCTCGAGTAGCAAGTAGCAACAAAAGGGGAATTTACAACTATTTCTACACATAACTAATGAAGATCGATCGTATTACATATATATATCTGTAGACAAAGAAAATCCAAAAGAAGCCTAAAGGGTATATTAATATATAACAAGAAGATGCAATCGCTGAAACTCTTGATCCCCATCGACAAAAATGGTATTAGATAGAATGTGAAAATAGTATCAAAAATTGTACAACAGAGACAATTAGCCCCGCATTCACTTTCTCTTTAACATCAATAATACAGAAAACACCAGATTTAAAATAGAGGAATAACTACAGTAAAGAAAATACCTGGAAATCGGGGGAAAAAAAAAAAAGTGAAGTGTTGAATGTGGAGATGATAATGGTGGGAATGGAATTTAAGGGAATGGAGGTTTGTTGAATGTGGACGTAATTGGCGAAAGGGGGGGAGGGGGATAAATCGAATTGGAAATTGGAAGTGATGAATGAAAATTGAAAAGAAAGGAAAGAATGAAGATTGTTGTCACCACCACCGCACCAGACGGTGAACAATTCAATACGGACTACTTTTTCGTTTCCTCAACTTTCGGACATTATTTTACTACACCACCACTCCTTTTTATTACAACACTATTATTATTAAATTAAATAAATGGGGTTATTTTACATACCATTATTTACCAAATAAACTAGTCAGGCGAAAGTACTATACTACTATTATATTCAATTTTCGGCCAAATTGCATTCAAAATTTCTGGCCATGCATTTAGCATGGCCTCTGATTTATTATTTATTATTATTATTATTTTTTATTAATAAACTTGTTTGTTTAATATATATATATATTTTTTTTTTGTTTATTTTTTTTTTGTAAAATCAATATGTTTGCTGTACTGAAACAGATCCAGCGCTCCAAACTGAATGAAATCACCACCAAAAGAAAGAACTCGACGAGAGGAATCCAACGGTAGTTAAAACCATCGAATTGTGACCACCGGAGAGAGAATTATGATTACGGGAAGCAACTTCGCCGATTGGAGGTCTATGGAGGCGGAATTTGAATCTGAGAGTTGAGAGAGGATGAGAGAGTCGACTGTGAGTGACTAGGGTATAAAATTGATTTTAAAAAGGAATTATAGGTACTTCAGGGTGGACGAGAAAGTCTGTCAAATTAATTTTAAAATAAAAAAAAATATACACAAGGATGTAATGAGCTTCTAAAATAATTCCTAAATAAATATGATTATTATTTTCTAGTAACTTGATCGTTGGCGTTGGAGCTCCTTTTTGCAGATTTCTTAGGAACTCGTGGGCTTCTTTCTTGTTTGAGCTTTCTCCAATTCGGGAGCATTATTTTATTTTATATCCGATTTAGCCATTTATGCCATATTAAAATTTGACAATATAAAAAAAGATATAGATAGAATGAATAGTTATAGAGTAATAGGAATTAATTAAAAATTACAATAAACACAAGAGCTGGCTGATCTTCCCATCTCCCTCCCGAGAGAGAGAGAGAGAGAGAGAGAGAGAGAGAGAGAGAGAGATGCAGGCGTACTACGGCTGTCTAGTGCTGGGGCCCAACTCCTTTGACGGTGGTGGTGGTGGTGGTTGTTCCAAATCGAAGGTCCCGTCGTGGTCCTTCATCACGTCCCGGAGGAGTCACCGTCGATTTAGAACTTGGGCCACCGTGAACGACCGTTGGACCAATCACTACCAAGTATTGGGTGTTTCACCAAACGCTTCCTTTTCAGACATTAAGAAGGCCTATCGTCTACTTGCTCTCAAGGCATCCACTACTTCCTTTTTTCTTTTTTTTTTTAATTAATTAATTTCTAATTTCCAATTGGTTAGATTTATGGATTATTGTATATAATTAATTAATTGATGATGATGAGTGCAACTGCAGCATCATCCTGATGTTAACAAGGAAGTAGGATCTGATGAGGATTTCAAGAGCATCCGTCTTGCTTATGATGTCAGCTACTTTTCCTTTCATCATCTGCTTTTGCTTTCACGCAGCTAAGATATTTTCTGATTTTACCACTTCGGAATAGCTAAGATATGATACAGTAACATTAACCAATCTACTGTACAAATCCAAGCTCAACTTCTTTAATATTTGCATTCTTCTTTTATCGACCTAACATTGTGTGTTACAGATACTGAGTAACGAAACAACAAGGAGTGAATACGACAAAGCTCGACCGTTAGGAGATGAATGGTCGATAAACACAGGATACGAGGATGGATTAAGGTTGTATAGATGGGCTTATCTGAGGCGTAAAATGCAACGTGAGAAATATGATAGGAAGGAAGATGAATTTTCATATTATGATGATGGTGGTGATGCGGCTGAAGAAGAAAACCAGGTGGAGTTGGAGAGAGGGTCGTTCATGGAGGTGGTTAGAGGAGCATTACTGTCTGTATTTCTGATGCAGACAGTGGGTATACGGCTCTCTCTCACGTATAGTGGGCTTATGGCTTTGATTGACCGGAAATTAGACGCGGGGTATAAGTTTGGTTATTTATTTGCATGGATAATGGGAGGAAGAGGCGGCATTTTGCTTACAATGTTTCTATCATTTGCAAGTTGGGTTTGTGGGAAAACAAGTAGCAGTGTTGTTGCTGTAGTAGTTGTTGCCATCTGGTTTGGTTCAAATATTGCAAGGTATTATGGTCCACTTCCCCAAGGTGCTCTTCTCACTCTCTTGCATATGTCAATCAAGCTACAGCTTGATCTAACCTAAATCTCACTATCAAGATTATGTAAATAAACAAGCCTTTGTTTTATATTTACTTAATAATTATTTATATATATATTTAGTTAATATACATTTACATCATATATAATTAAATTCCCATTTGAAGATTGTATACTTGTAACTTGTAATGCTGGATGGTGACGGTGATGATGATCATACTGTGAACACTCAACAACGTGGTGTTTCTTTCTTCCTTCATTTTTTGTACGCTTTTATGTATTATCAAATTCAAAAATTATCCATGTTAAGTATTTTGGATTTTATCGGAAACATGGCTAGTTCGTAAAAACACACCACTTCAAACTCATCTTGAAATCTAAAAATCCTATTCAAGTTTGTTTTGATTATCAATAGAGCATCAACGAACTTCAACATAAATCGAGCTTGAATTGTTTGATTTTGCGTACACATTTTATCTCTTCAGGATGACTCATATCTCTAATAATAGAATACTGGATAGTTTAGTTTAAATTTCAGTATTATGTGAGCTTGGAGATATTGACATTGATTTCAGCAGGCCCAATAATGATATTGAACACTTGAATCAATTTACATATATTAAAAAAAAAAAAATAGTGAAAAAAATGGAAAAACATATGGGTACAGTACAGGTGTGCTTACATGGGATAGATAGATAGCCAATCCACTATCAGCAGCTTACATAGACAATTTTTAATCTGCCAACTCAAGTTCCCTTTCAGACAGACAGCAGCAGGAGTGGCAGCTTCTGTGTTGTTTTACAGAAGCACAAAAGTCCTTTTCTTCTTTCTTGGTACAGGCAATGCAAATACAGTTTTTGAAACAAAAGACCACTCTCATTAAGCTAATTAGCCTAATGTAATAGAAATCTGAGCCAGCCAGATAGATAGTCTCAGCTTTCAAAATTTTAGCAAACAGTACGACCGTAACATATTGATGCAATGTAGAGATTTTTGGACCACTTCTCCTGCACGCAAATTTGAAACATATAAGAACAATGTGTAGGGAAAAAAAAACAAGAAAGAAGAAAATAAAACAAGTACCTTTACATGGGTGCTTGGGAAGGCAGACGTTCGTAGGGTCTCCTGAGTCTCGTCCATCATTTTACGTCTAGGAATACTAAGTATGAATGCCCCTTGATCAGCAGTTGCAGCCATGGCTGTTATTCTGTATCCATTTTCCCATCTTCTGTGTATTCCCTCACTTGGATACAGAAAATCAAGCTCCACAACCTAATTTATTATCCATTATTACTTAGTACTCTAACTTAGACAATTTGGTTACCTACCTACAAATAGTTCCAGCATCGAGTTTTACCTGTTCAGAATATCCAGAATTTCTAGACATTACAACACCCCAACGATTCCCAGCAGTAGTCATGGATGTCACATGAAAACCTTCTTTCCACTTTTTATTTATCCACTTGAAAGGAAATGATTCACTAACTTTATACGACTGTTGAGTGTAAGGAGTTCCTAAACAATAACCAAAAGCAAAGGCAAAGACGTCAGACCTCATAACACACCATCTCACACTACACGATTATAATTCAGTATATGTTATATAAAAAGTATCTTAAATAATCACACATTATATACAAGATGACTAAAGGGGATGCAATGTAAAGAGACATAAGCTTCTGCCAACCTTTAGACATAATAACCAGCGAACTTCCATTAGCTGCACCAGCTATAGAACTGATGTAATAGTTTTTCTCCCATTGTTCCATGATCCAATCCTGACAAAAAAAACATAATATTCTTTTAGTGAAATAGATATATGTCCAGTCAGAAAGGACCAAAACCACGAGGAAAAAAGAAAAAAAAAGTATAACTTGAATTTGTAGTGTTTCAACAAACAAACCTTATGAAGGAAGACAGCTGAAAGTTCATACACCTGCGAACTGAAACCCGTTCCAGCATCCATGATCAAGGCCCAGAGATTTGATGCTGAAGCTACGCAGCTAATATATAAACCATCTTCATTACCCTTCTCTACATGCTGTCGGAGCCTAGAGTCTGCAACATTGTAGTGGTATCTACAAATATAATGCAACAAAACTTCTTCACAAATAAATAAATCATAAATAAGGCTGCAATATCTAACGGTATACCTAGTAATGCACAATACTATTAAGAGACACTATCAACTGCAACCCACTAAAGCTCTCATGTGAACCAAAAGCAGCCATATGATGCATCAGAAAAGAGAAAACAATACATACGATGCCAGTAAAGAGAACACAACATACATGTAACACGCAATGTCAAAACAAACAAAATAAAAGAACATCTGCTTTTCCTATTTTTGTTGAAACCGCTAAATTGCCTCATTATATCTATTCACGTGACTTGGCATCATCAAGACGTCAATACCTAAAACTTATGCATCACGGATTAAAAAACGCATTGTTATTTTCGCAAGGACTTGGACTTCCATTAACTATCCAAGAAAGATTTTTATTTTCTCAAAATAGTACCGAATTTATCTCTCTCCGCTCCTTTTTTCAAAGAAAATCAAAATTTACCTTTGAAACTACTACAATCTATATGTTTTTAAAGACTCAGATTTCTGAGAAGTTAAGCATCTGCATATCAACAAGTCAGTAGTGAATAACACAGTATTCAACCACCAGATAGTAAATTCACAAAATAACAACATAAATATAACGTATAGCATCAAGAGAATCTACAATATGTTAATTGCAGATAGATCTCTGTTCACATGCATCCAACAATGGGTAAAATATCAATGCCGTCTACATCTTCCTGTTTTGGCCATGCAAGTAGTAAATTACATCTTTGCTATTTTGAGGGAGATTCGATGTGCATGTGGAACTCCATACGCCGAGCAAGAAATTAATACCATGATAAATATTTGTTGCTCTTGTGCCCAGTTGAAGGAAAAAAATTATAAAAAAAAAATAAAAATTCAACAGCTGCTTATCAAACGAGGAGGAGAATAACTCAAATTAGGTTAATAAAGATTTATTTTTCAGATCAGTGAGAAGTGAGAACATGCGTGATGCCAAAGTTTGGTACTACTTTACCCATTTTTCCAAAGTCCTTTTTTTTCTAAAAAAAATGGCCTTATAACACCGGACCTCTCCCTATACCCCCACAACGGGAGAAGTCCTAATACCACTTAGGCTAGGCTGTCTGTTTTTTCTAAGTCCTTGTATAAGCACATGAAGAGCAATTGTGTCATGATCAAAACTTGGATACAAGTTTTATGAACCTATGCATGCGATAACAGAAGATGCCACCCATGTTCATACCATCAAAATAAATATTTAGCAGCAGTGATTCACCTTTGTTTCATGGGGCGTCGTGCGTTATACACTGAAATCCACTGAGTAGCAGGACTACCTAATCGTACTTTCTTCTTTGGTTGCTCATCATCTTCCAAGTTTATAAGCAACCTTCCACGCTTTTGACCAACCTGTATAATAGGGGATAAATAATTTAAGACAATAATGTTTTTATCTAAACAGATACAAATTTGTAAAATTAATGCTAGTATATGTTTTTTCTTTCATATGTTACCTTGAGAGCTCCATCAATTCTTATTGGTCTCAAAGAAGAGCAAGGTTCAATAAGACTATCAAAAAGTGATATCAGCTTAGAATAATTTGGCTCCTCATCGAACTTCATATTAGTAACAGCCTCAAGGAAATGTTTGAATGGACCAGGGCAAAAGCAACACATCAACTCTGGAGACGTGGACATTTTCTTTTTACAGACTAGAAAACTCTTGTTGTCGCCCTGTCATCATACAAGAATAGAGAACATTAAGTTCAATTTGTGAGGTAAGACGCCATAATTACTAAAGCAATTACAACAATCCACCTGATAGCCTTGCCATGGTAACCTTCCCTTTATGAGAAATATCAATGTGTATGCCAGTGATTCAAGGTCGTCCCTCCTACTTCCCGTGCGACCCAAATGTGCGTGCACACTTGCATACCTTATTGTGCCCCTGTGGATAGACCATCAGAGACCATAAGTTCATATGAAGTCAGAACTATCCAAAAGGTGAGTGGTGGGGGTCCTTCATGAATCATGATATTTGGTGGTATATACTTTTCCATAAAAATTGGTCCCATGTAGGGATCAGGTCCCGATGCATGATAAAATAATCAAACACAACTAGCAGACATTGGCTGACTGGGAAATGTCCACAAACCCCTGAGTTTTACCACAAGATTACATCTTCACCTCTTGTGATCTGACCCTAGGTAAAAAATGAATGGAGGGCCACAAAAACCTCATGACCGTCTGTACTCAATTCAGCAATCGAATGAGTTATCAGGTCAGCAGGAAAAATGTAGAGTGAATAATATCTTCAACAATGAATTTTAGGCAATTAACATATACACAATTGGAAGGCTGAAAGATATATCATTATCTTGTGAATGTAATTGTTTACCGTTTCTTGAGAAGCCAACCGAAAAATACTAAAGCATGGTATTCAGATATTACATTTTTTATGGAGTTACAACTGGCTGCAGTTTGGAATGTAGTAAGGGTTTTTTGGTTTATTGAGCAAATTTAGTCCATCGTATACAATACTCTTGTAATTGTTGTAATAAGATTGACTGATATATTATCCAAACAATCCTATTAGGTACACATGATATTTGATCGATCAAACATTTGTAATCTTATATAAGAAATCCATAAATAAATCAAAATTCCACTAACCTGAATATATCTGGCCTTTGATCATATTCAACATGCTGACCAGATGGTGCGTCTTTCCACCTTGAAGCTGCATTACAAATGTATTAAATGATAAGAATTTATACAGAACAACGGTGAAATGGTAAAAAGAAAAAAGGAACCAGAATCAAAAGAAAAACAAACCACGGATATGGAAATATCGGTAGCATAGATATTTAATACAAGAAAAAATATATGTTGCTTCTCAACATTGTTAACAACACAACTTAAGATAGTCTTTTTTTTTTTTTTGATAAGTCACAACTTAAGATAGTCATGATGCAGAATACGAGAATTAAAATGGAGTATAATACCTAAACCAAGATCAATAAGAAACAGCTTTTTCTCATCTACACTTCCAGGTTGGCCAAGTAAAAAGTTCTCTGGCTTGACGTCCCCATGAACAAATCTAGATAACAGAAGAGACTACTGGTAAAAAAATTGTGTTATCAAACGGATAAATCAATTTGAAGCCCAATAAAGGAAGGATCAAGATTAATGCTATATAAGGGATATTATAGTAACAAGTGATGGGAATCTTAAATCAAGCAGGTGTTACCCCTTCATATGAAGCTTTTCAAGAATTGATATAGCCTCCACAGCAATGCAGGCTGCCATATTTGGAGACATCCTGTTTCAGGTACTCATAATCAAGTAAGGAAAAACATGGCGTATAGAGGAAGACATAATGACCACTCTATTTTTGCATGTTGCTCGTGATCATTTCATGTCAACCGCAGGATAAAGCAGGGTATATGTACGTGTGTGTGTGTGTGTGTGGTGTGTGTGTGTGTCTGTGTGTGTGTGTGTGTGTGTGTGTGTGTGTGTGTGTGTGTGTGTGGAGAAGGAGAGAAAGAGTCTTACGACTGGCCCAAGGAATTCCAAACATCCCAAAGACTCGGTCCAAGTATATCCATGACCTGAAAATAAAAATTATACCTCGGAACATGATAGAAAGTCATGAAGCGGAAATGCAAAAATCACAACTCACCATGATGTAAAAATCAGCTTGGCGACCTTTATAATGAACCCCTGGGATTCCATAACATCCATTCAGGGTGCTTTTTATAAAAGAAAACAAATATTAGTAAGTTAACATTTAAAGTGCAAAGAAAGATGACATCCTCAAGTTAAGACCAGAGAACTTACTTGTACACCTGCCACTCATATGGTGGGCCATAATTACAGCCCTTACTACTTCGGTGTTCACACTTCAGTGCAACCTACAAAAACATAATATTTCTAATTAAATCAGAAATGGTGAGATTTCATATGCCTCCATAAAATAAGTGCCAAATGATACCTCAATTGCATCTGGTCCTGTTCTTCCGGTGCCACCACTTACCCTTCTGCCTACATATACTTGGCCAAATCCGCCCTTACCTAATTTCCTTTCCGTCTTATACATGGGTGAACCCCCCACTTGTACCTGCACCAAGAAAAAGTAAGAATAAGTGGACTGTGCAGCAAAATATCGCATAAATGCAACAGGTAAGTAATTGAAGATCACAATTAAATCTCAAAAATATCTTCCTGCAATCTCCTAAATTCAAATGCCATCTATCTGGGAGCCAAACTCAGGATATTTCCATAAGATACTCAAGAACGTGGATAATGAAAAAAAAATTACCCTCTCAGGCACCGGAGTTGCACTTGCGTCTTCTTCAACTCCCATTATTTTATCCCCACTTGCACCTTCCATGGCAACTTCCTTATCTGCGACGCCCACGCCCTCCACTCTATTCAATTCGGCTGCTCCAAGGCCAACAGTTTCAGGAAGAACCTCACGAGGTGGCTCTGGGTCTAAATCTATCAACCTCACTCCCCTGCCTCTACCGGCAGCAGTTGGCCTAGTAGGTGTTGCTGTAGAAGGCCCTTTTGCTACGGCAGATGCATTGCCTCTTCCTCTTCCTCTCCTTCTGGTTCTAGTCTGAGCAGGAGCAAGAAATTCCTCTTCTTGATTAGCAGTCTGAGGGGTAGGATGGAGATCACCGAGCCGTTTTGATCTCCTTGCTCCACTACGCAATTCCGGCATCATCACCCATGCAAAATTACTTCCAACTCATTCCCCGCCTTCTGCTCAGATTCTTCGGTCAGCTTTCTGTAAGAATAACCACAAACGAATGGAAAGTGGAAACAGAAAGCATTTATTTACGTTTCCAAATACAGAAACAAACTAGTAAAGCTCAATTTTTTCACATATCATGAGCAATCAAAGTTTGCCAAAACTATGAAAAATAGAAGCATTTAAGATAATCGCTGCATAAAGATACTAGTTTCAGCTATTTTTTGCTCAGACTGAAGCACACAATAAAAAGCTCTGTATATATTGTTTCCAAATCATACTTTTTTTCCAACAAAAAGGAATGGCTCTAAATGAAATATTCACAAAAGGAAAAAAAGAAAATCTCTACTAAACACTCGTGGAAACTTATGGCCCAGTACAACAAAAAGTAAATTAACAAACCCAGGAAACCAAACATACAATAATTCACATATATGTAACCAGAAAAGTTATTAACAGTCCGTATTAGAAGAAAAATGAAATATAGACGAAAAATAACCAAAATAAAAAAATAAACAACAATAAGCCGGTACAGATCAATTATCAGACCTCGAAAACAGCAAAAACAGGACGATCGGAGATTAAAAAAAAAAAAAAAGAACAGCGACGGAAACCCCAAATCGATCAGCCGATGAACAGCAGATCTTGAGTGAAAACATTCATTCTTAATTTACATAGAAGATGGGGATGTGAAATTGGATGGAAAGAGAATGAGATATTGGATTCGAATTTTGGATAGAGTTGTGTGCGTCGTAAATGGTAGGTATTGTACGGCTACTCTTGCCCTCTCTCTCTCTCTCTCTCTCTCTATGTACACCAAAACATCCACAGTCCACACCCTGCCCTTTCCCTGCCCTCTCTGCCTCTCTCTACTCTTTATTTCTCTTTTATTTTTTACCTTCAAAAAATATAATGCAATTGTGTTTTTCTTTTTTCTTTTTTTTCAGTAAGTAAATAGTATCTCTGTAATTTGTAATTTGTAATTTGTAATTCGTAATTTGCATCGTAATACTAATAACTCTTTAAACCTCCTAAACTTGAAATGGAAAGAAAAATGACTAGATCATGTTTTATATTCTATTTAGCACTGACATGGAAACAGGGACACTATGTAGCACTGACATGAAAACAGAGACACTGTGAAACGAGAATACGAAGAACAAGGAAACTCTGGTTTCCAAAAAATTGGATACGAAAGATGTAAATATTAAATATATAAGACTACATTCATAATTTCTTATATGGTTCAGTCTTGTTTCCAGTGTTGTGAAATTAACTAAAGTTGGTTTCAATTTTTTTTACATACCATAACTTTAATGTTGCCATACCGTGGAATGATTCAATTATATTTCTTTGTTCAATTTTTGGAAAATGGTTTTGTTGAAAAAATAAAAAAATTGAATTTTTTTTTTTTGTGGGAAATAAATAAATATGTATTAAAAACGATTTTGTTAAAACACATTTTTATGACTTAGTAATGTTTTTTAAGTGAAAATGAAGTGTAATTGTAATTATGATATAAAGTGAGAGACATTCTAAATATTTCAGGACATGTAAGTAGTATGACTAAATTGTATATGAAACTAAGCAAAAGCCCCAAATTATAGTCTGGTTGATTCCTTTATCAATAGAAAAATGAAAAAAAAATGATTAGTTTCAAATAATGAGAATATATGAATATCTATTATTTTGAGACAAAGGAGTCATGGGCTGTATAATTTTGAGATGGATCCATTTTTTTCCGTTTGGTTAGTGAGCCGATGTATTAATATTCGGCCTATGAAATTACAGTTTGGAGTTTGGACCACTATAATGTGGCAGTGAAACAATCCACTTGAAAGAATGAAGAAATAATCCCTCAAGAAGAAATATTCAATGGTTTAGAATTGTATGGGCGGTTTTTTTATTCTTTCGTGCATTAGATAAACCTTCACTCTAGTTATAAATAAAAAATATTCTAGTGCAAAAGTTGTGCACTTGAGAAATAAAATGGTTCGTATATACGTCTTTTCTTTCGATGGATTTAAAAACATATATCATAAATTAATTGAAACAAGTTCAATGACTTTATTACTACTGATTCAAGATCATTCTCTAAAAAAAACACCGGTAATGGAAACACCAACTAAATATCATAAATTTCTAATGCTCGTAGAAACAATCACAATTTTCAATAGGAGAAATTGCCCAATAGTAGAGTTTCATCACAAATAACAAAACTGAAATGAAAAAAAAGAAAAAAGTACTAGCCTACTAGGTATGGTTTCCAAAAAAAAGAAAAAAGAAAAAAGAAAAAAGAAAAAAGAAAAAAAGAGATGTTAGTGTTATCATCTTCTATAGCAACAATAATAATAATAGTAAGGTTAAAGCAGCTAAAAAAATAGATGAAGAAGGAGATGACGAGGAGGAGGAGGAGGTGGGAGCTATCTGAATGGTGAAGTTGCAATTGGACTGAGATATATTTTGGTCGGTGAGCACGGCAAGACCCTCAAAGTTGCAGGACAATCGACCTTGATTCTGAATCTGGAAGTACATATTAAACGCAAAAGAAGCATTTCCATTGGCATCTAATGAATTGCATGAAGAACCATATCCAAGGGCTGTGCAGTCTCCAAATGTACATGCATAATCTATGTTCTTTGCCAGCTTGCTTAAGTCTTTTGCATCTGGCCTAAGCATACACCATTTTGCGGAGCCTGTTTACATTTTGTGCACCAACAAGATACTTGTCTTCCTCTTGTTGCCCAGACAAGTCCATTGGGAATTTTGGTTGTCCGTCGTATCTGAATATCCCCAGTGCCTCTCGAATTTACCTGGAGCTATGCTCTTGAAATCCTCATCAATCAAACCAAAAAGGTATACTTCTATATAACCTGGTCGTAGAGGTGTTCCTTTATTTCCTGCAAGTCTTTGTAGAAGAGCTTTGTAGAACCTCAATGCGTAATTTATGTTTGCATTCTTGTCTCCATCTGTCGGCCATCCCACCTCCCCAACAATAATCGGCATATCACCCAACTGCACTGCTTTTAGAGATGAAACCAATGTGTCGAAATTGGCATCAAACACATTGGTGTACTGAATCCCGTTATCCATAATGGGATTGCTAACCCCATCAAAGAAGGCGTAATCAAAGGGGAAATGTTCGTTAGCATAAAGACTCAAGAAAGGATAGATGTTTATGGTGAAGGGGGCCTTGTTCTTGTCCAAGAACTGAACTATTTGGGTCATTTGGTAGATGATATCTGTGCGGAATCTTCCAGCTGAAGGGACAGGGTTGTCTTCAGGGGAACCGTAAACATCAGCATTCAAAGGCACAGTTGCTTTGATGGAGTCCCCAACCCCAGCTTCATTCAAGGCATTCTGAATGTTCTCAAGAGCTGGGAATGTTGTGTTCAGAAATGAATTGTTATACGCCGTAAGGAACGGCTCGTTGCCTACTGCCACATATCTGCACAATGTTTGTTAATCAAATCTATGGACTCGGGCTAAAATTTTAAGTAAAAACGAAAATACTATTGACAATCAACCAAATCACAAACAAGACATTTGAGAAAACCCAACATCTGCTAATTATACAACTCTCTATATATGTTTCAAATCACAAATAAATTTAGGTAATAATTTTCTATGATGGATCAAGAGGGAAAAAATAGTTCACAACATGTTCAAAGAGAATGGCAAGTTATTTTGTTTGGTTCAACACAGTATTATGGCAATTTCCTATTTGCAGCCAATTGAGCATTGCAAGAAGAAATAGAGTATATGTATATTGAACCCTAGAAATTAATTAAGGAGAATGATATTTGGAATACAGAGTTTTAAACAGAGTTCCCACCACTTGAATATTACAAATCAGACAAATGAGAGAGAGAGAGAGAGAGAGAGAGAGAGAGAGAGAGAGAGAGAGAGAGAGAGAGAGAGAGAGAGATACTTGATATTAACACCGCCATTGAAGTTGTAACGGGTGACATTGCGCCTGACCCACTGCTTAGCTCGGTCAAAACTGGCCATAACAGAAAGCTGGTCATTAGGGATAGCAACCATGACTTCAATGCCGGTGCCAGCCAAAGCGGTCATGGTGGACTGATCTGCATCGAATAGCTTTACTTTCTTTATCCCGTTGTCTATTAGCATCTGCACCACCACTTTCGGCGGCAGCTTGTGGCTTGCCATCGTACCCCAGTTCACACCCAGGCTTCTAACAAGAAACCCTTGCTTATTGGATAACAAATATAGCAATGACAAGTATACCAAAATACAAAATCTGGACGACATAATTTTGTTTTCAAGGATAAAAATCGAACCTTTATCAATTATATATATATATATATAGAGAGAGAGAGAGAGAGAGATAGATATAGGTTTTTGGAAAGGGAAAAGGGTTGAATTAAAATAAAAAAAAGGTGGAAAGAAAATCTGCAAGAAAAAGGAAGAAAGAGAGGAATAAAAAAGGTAAAAATGGAGAAGGAAATATTTATAATGAGAATATGGATGGATGGATGAATGTGGGTGGTGGAATGGAACGTGTGGAGACTAATATGATTTAATGGGAACTGCCAAAAAGGTTACACTATCTATACTACTACGGTGGTGGGTCGGCCGTCGGGGAAGATGGAAGTAGTGGGTCAGATAATTTAGGGAATTAAAATCAAATAATAAAACAACTTTCTTTTCGTGCAAATTAATTAAAGGACCAAAGAAAAAAAAAAGGATTGGACCGTTCCGTTTCAGATGTTGTATAATTACAACCCACCGCCGGTCAAAATAGAAAAACCGGGCAACCTAATTTCAAGGTATAAAATATACACATAGGTATGGTAGTGGTGATTGGTGGTGCTCGCCAGAAGTCAGAGGCCCACCGGTGTACCCGCCGCCCTCTTCTTATCTGTCTGTCCTCTTATCAATTTCAAATAAATTTGAATTTTTATTATAAGTATGATGATTGAAAATTGGTATACCACCAACGGCTAATTAATTCAGGGTAGAAGAAAATATATAGATTATTATTATTGTTTGTTTGTTTTGTAAATAAAGGAGTTACGTTGTTGCCGACACATGGGCCGGTGTCTCAGTAGTCATTGACAACACAAGTTAGTATATGTTGCTCCGTTCAATGCATCATCGAATCGACCGACCTACATAATAAATATTTTAATTAGTATTTTGATTATTACCCAAGAAACATCACAGTTGATACTCAAGATGCACATCGTCGTCATGTGATTATTGTTTCTCAAAAAGACAATTTTCAGAGCAGCACATTTGTCTGGATGGACCACCATAAATAATGGATCATCTTCAAGGTCAAGGTAGGTTACTCCTTTCAACGGGTTACAGGTTAAAAAACAAAAGTAACATCATCATATTCGTTCATGGAGATTGTTCAATATAACAAAGAACAATGTATAACCAATGCATTACCCCCAATGATGGCATTGTGCAAGTAAAACAGAGTGAGGATATTGCCAATATACAAGTTTGTGAAATGAAAACATACTGGTCTACAGCTACAAAAGGTTGCTGTATTTGCAAGAAAGTCCCCTCTCTCATATGGTTTGCAATTGTGAGAAGGAAATGCGAATAGTTGAACCACCAAGAGATGTAGCATGCTTGCACACAAGGGCTTCTGTAGCCTGCTCCTCATTTTCATAAAGTACCAGAGACTGCTTTTTTCCATTCATCTCAAACAGTTTTGTACCGACAATTGTTCCATGCTCTTCAAGGTGACTTGCTATTTCTTCTTCGGTCACATCCTGGGGAAGAGTGGATATGTGGATCATTTTAGTTGGTGAACAGCAATATCGGTAGTTCTTGGCAGCATTTCGGTTGAAACGGTTCAGATTTGAGTTGGAGTAATCGTGGGTATCAGATCCAGTTGTTATGTTTACATGCTTTGAGAAATTAACCTCCAACCGTTTCCCAAACAACATGGCACCCTGTATGTATCAAAAACAGCTCCCCCAATTATACTAGCATAATTTATTATATTAGGATAACAGGATGTGCATCCAAAACCAGTCAACCAGAACAAGTTAAATTCAATATCAATTTTCTAGACCTTCAAAAAGTGAACGACCAATTCAGCCTGAAAACCATCACCCATTTGGACCAACGCATGATCTGGTTTGTTTCGGAGCAGTTTGATTCTAATAATGTTTCCATAAATTGAGAACAAATTGAAAAGCTTATCCTCATCTATTCTCTGCAAAGCAAGTTCTGGAAGGAGTGAGCAATTTTTATAATGTTGAACTCTATACTTTCAAGAACTGAAGCAATGATCAAACAGATTATTGTGTGTGTGTGTGTGTGTGTGTGTGTGTGTGCGTGTGTGAGAGGTAAAAACTTACATCAGGATTCAGGTTGGATACAAGAACCGTGCACCGATCATTGGTACCACTTAAACCAGGTGGCAAAACTCCTCCAAAGGCAGCAGCAATAGCAGCAGCATTACCCATCTAAGTTTAAAAAAAACATAAAAAGGCGATCCAGCACAAATACTATAAGCAATGCACGACTGAGTGAGCCAAAGTGTGCATCACAGCTTAAAGTAAAATTAGATCAAAGACATTAGCAGATAAACAATACTTTTGCAGATAAACGAGAACACTTATTAACCAGCATACATAGAGGAACCAGTCTAACCAAACGCCAGAGATTAGTTAATGTTACTAAATCAGAATCTACCAGTTCTTGTTTTGTCAGCCTAGATGAAAGATATGGACAGAACAGTATTACTAAATATAAGCTGAATGAGATACCACAACTACAATCTATTGCCATAGCAAGGACATGACCAATTTAAAAAAAACAAAACAGAAATGTGATGTTGTCATGCTCTGACTAGGATACAGCAGCATGCTCATGTACCGTTGAGGTGCAGACACAGTTAAGCAAGGATGTTAAAGAATGGTAAATCAGTTTGATCCCTGATGCTCAGCAACGTACTCACCTGAGGATATCCAACTAAAAACAGAGAGAGATAGAGAGTCAGAAAGTGGGATAGACTTGAGAGAGAAACTGAAACTATTACACATCATACAGCATCTATGTATTAAGCACCTGGATGCGCATACATGCCTGCATCTCCATACCCAGGCTGTCATAAAGGGAATCGAATTTGGAATTCAATCATAAAAACAGTCTCGAGGCGAAAAAAAAGAAGTTAAACAATGTGAAGTACTACACTAGAGAAGAACAGATTACTTGAGAGGACTTGCCCTTTTGTTCTGAAGGCAAGGAAGGGTTTGTGAAATCCCTATGTCAAGCAGAGAACAAGAAATAATAAATGGCAGTACAACAGCAAAAAAGAGACAAATAACATGAATTTAGCTCATAAACTTACCTAGAGCGCTCATTGTTATAATTCACTTGCAATTCATCAAGGCTAGGTTTAAAAAACAAAAGAAGCTCTCATGAATACACATAAATCTAATAGGGTAATGTGTATATACACCAAAAATCTTAAAACTCACTTACTTTGAGAACTGAATGTCCAGCTGGCAGCAACCATCATATATATTCCGTCCCTGTAGCAAGTTATGAGCTTCGTCTCAATGTCGAGAAAGTCAACCAATCTAGTAGGTTGTTATTCAATATACCTGAAGAGAGTTTCTTGCTAAAATAGCACTCTGCTGTAGTTGATACTGAATTAGAGCTTGAAAACCTACACAATTTGGGGTATTAGTGCATCCCTGAGGAATAACTAGAAAAAGTATATTCTTTAATGCATTTTTTTGAGTGGGGGGTCAGATATTTGAGCTCATACACGAGAAAGAAACAGCATAGATATTAATACACCAGACCCAGTTAAATAGAACCCTCACAAAAGCGAAAGAATGGCAAACAATATGCACAGAGGCATTCCTCGTGAAGGATGATACTAAATTTAGACATTCTTCACATGCCTTAACCAATATCTAAAATAAGGAAGTGGAGAAAGAGAAATTTGAAGATGCTGACCAGCCGACTTCTGAAACGTGACAATCTTCTCTACGAATCCATGAGGAGAAAAAACTTGATGCAGCACTTCCACAGTTATAGGATATAGCATGTGATGCACCGTAACTAAGAGGACTCGGTTAGGCTGAATATCCAGAGAGAGCCGAACAGCAGACCAGCATAGAGAGAATAGAGAGAAGACCCCAACAGCAAACCAGCAAAGATACAGCAGAGAGAGGAGAAGGGAATGAATAGAAAGAATACAGAAAGAGAAAAGGAAATGGACATATAGAGCTAGAATAACCAGCGCCCCACGCAATCAGTCCATAAGCACAAATGCAGTAAGTATATGGATGAAAAAAATTAAGTGCTTGAGGAAATGACATAACCAGTTTATATGCACTAACACTATTTTGATTGATGTGATATCATATCATCAACCTCCATTACAATACAAATATAAAGAAACCTCGGCTAAAAAAAATACATGTAGAAAATAAGGAGGCAAACAGCATTTGAAGAGATCCAATCAACCAAAAAATATTAATGTAAGTTATCCTCCAAGAGAACTATGCATTCTCGAGGAAGAGATAATTGCTTATCCGAAAGGAAATTGTTGATATAGAATCTCAAGTCACCAAACAAGATATACTTGCAAGAAGCAAGAACGAACGGGCTTACGCCGAAATATTTCTCAGAGATACGTAATTATTGCCAGTATCATACTTCTCACTCTTGTGTCAGTAATAAAAGAAAAAGGTACCTTTCAGAACTACCAAAGAGGTAAAGCAATGCTGGTTTCCCAGATACATACAAAACTCTAATCTGATTTTTAAACTATCTAAAGACTGCTTTACTAAATCTTAGAAGGAAACACACATATCAGCACTAGGAATCTTCAGACACAATGCAATTACACGACAAACATCTATATGCACAGATTCAACTTTAAAGAACCTCTTGCCTAGAAGAACCCATGGGCCATGAATAACTTACTAGAGTTCCTCTATGGAAGCATTAGCTGTAAAACACAGCCAATAGATATTTGTATTTAAACTTGCTTCATCTTTCATCAAGTGGTCATAAAGTTCTGCTCCAAGTTCAATACTTCTATGTATAGGTCTCTCTATCTAAATCACTAAGTCTTCCAGTGGGATCTCAATGGAATAAAACCATTCCGTCCAGGGCCACAAATGGTTGCTTGGACAGACAAACTGTAATTCAAAGATCTTTCCTAGTGGCTGATGAGTATTGTGCTGTCACTATTCAAATGCTTCTTATTATGTCAGTTGTGTGCTGCCGAAGGTTGCTATGCTTGAATTTAGAACATATTTTTATCTCTTACCCGCATTTTGCAAAAGATTACGTACATCACCAAATTTCTGATATTATAGTGCACTACTTTATATTCTTACCAACTAGATGCATTTCTTATTCAATGGTATTGTGTATATTCGTGAACGGAATAACTTAAGACTCGTGATCAAACCCCTATAAGTGTAGTGTGACATACTTACTACATCTTAATACCTACAAAAGAAGCTACATAATATTTGTAAGTTCAATGATCACATATCAATGTAATTGAAGTGAAATGAAAATTTTCCCAATGTGCATAACAGTCACCTCATCTCCTCTTGCTTGGGAATTCTGATCTATAACTGTAAGTTCTTGGTGTGATGAAAATTGAACATAAACATTTCTTCCCCTACAAGCACAATAAGAAAGTTCAGTAACAGACTAGATAACAGCAAAAACAAGGTGAAGAACTCCCACAATGAAATTGAAAACATTATTTTTCAAGATACCTTATGCTCGGCTGAACATTAGAGTAAAATTGTAAGGCATTTACTGCTGAAGTGATATCTTGCATTTGAAGGAGGGCCTGGTATTTCAAAGTAAGAAACAATATCAGAGACAAATTTACTTTTGGCCGCAGATACACTACTGCTTCTTGAAGATATTTTCAAGAACACAACCTGATTCTTGGCTCGAAGCATCACAAGCTTGGTAATGACTCCAAAAGGCTGGAATAGCTGGAGCAAGTCATTCTAGAAATCGTAAAATAATATCAGAGACCGTACGTAAGAGAACTACGCAACCAAAATATGTTTTTTTTTTTTGTTTTTTTGTTTTTTTGCATTATTGAGAAAGGTTCCTATATATTTAAAGGTTTTGGTGATGAGCCTGTTAGGGCTAACTTTTGAAGATAGGAAAATTAAGCATGGAAGATACTGCAAAACCAAATATACAAAACGGAAAGGTTTCTATTTTTTATTTTTTGGTGATGAGCCTATTACCGCATTTAACTATTGAAGATAGGAAAAATAAGCATGGAAGATGATGCAAAACAGAAAAAAAAACAAATACAGTGGGACATATGTACTGCATGGGTAAGTTCCATATAGATCCTATTGTTTAAGCTTTGGGATTGAATGTTAATTGAGAATACTCAATATACCTCAGCAATTTCATGACCCACGTTACGGACGTGAATGACTTTTGAAGGCTCTGCCATTGTCAAGAATCCTGAAACCAAAGAATGTGAAGGTGTGGATTCATGATAAGGCTACTAGAGGATACACGACCAAAGAAAGCAAAGAAAATACTTGAGACAATGTCCGCCAAAAAGAAGAAAGAGAGAGAGAGAGAGATAAGGAAAGTTAAATATAGAGTAGTCCACTTTCAGTTTTGATTCATCAACAAAAAGAGATGAAGTCAAATCACGGAGCAAAGGGCCCTCTTTCAAGAGGTTGAGAAGAAGAGAGTGAGAAGGTGAAGATGTCAGGTTTAGCAAATAAAGCAAACTACAAGTCGGTTCCTGGTATTATTGACCCCAAGATCAGGCTTTTACGAATTGTAATCATTTAGAAATATAAATTAAATATGCATGTAAGCACCAGAAAGAAAAACTTTTTTTGAAGAAGTGAGGAGGAGATCGAAAAGGATATCGCCTGTATTACAGTCAGATGTCTTTACCAGAAAATGGTGTCGAGTCGATCTTTTAGAAGTGATATAGTAAGAGCACAAACAGTATAGCAAAATGCTTGAAAATCCTATCAGCTTCCAGGAGAGAGAGAATTATGATCAAAACGATAGCATAAGAATAAGGAATGAAAAAACAAGTGTAGAGCAAAATAATTAATCACCTAATTGGGTAGGACAGGACAACGGGGAAAGAGAGAGGGAGGGGAGGGTACTTGCGGAAGAAGAAGAAGAATGGGTGGGGGTGGGGGTAGGGTTAGGGTTAGGGTTTTCTCGGGGATTTTATTACAGTTTTGCCCTCAGATAGTAAGGGGTGTATCAGTAAAAAGACAAAGGTGAATGGGGGAAAAATAGGAGGTCGGTGTCAGTCTCTATATAAAGAGAGGCAATGGCAATTGAGTGTGTAAACTACTTGATCTTATCTGAGCAGAGCGGCGGTGAAGAATGAACAGGTGAATTGGGGGATCGATCGGATGCCGCCCTCCTTGATTTGATTTGATTAGATTTGGCTGCTGGAGGCTCCGGTTTCCCCCAAATCTACTCATCTATCTTTCTTTCACCGCTTCTACTGTGATGAAGACTGCCCGCCGCCGAAGCCTGCAACCTTTATTGTTGTGGCGATGATGGATTAGCGGGCTTTTCCTTCTATACATTGTTTTTTTTTCTTTTCTTTTCTCCCGATTATCATTCTTTTACTTACATTTAAACATTGTTTCTTTTCTCCCTCATCGGATTATCATTCTTTTACTTGCATTTACTGTTGCTCACACATTTCACTTCACAAAACAAAAAAATTTGTTTTTGCTGCTGAAATTCTATAGGCGTTGTTTCTAAATTATCTGATCTGTTTTTGAACTAGTTTTTAAAAGAGTGTACTGTTGATTTGATATTTGCAGATAAATTTGAAATTATTTATCTTCAATTCTGAGTGCAGGTTCACACAAGACTCTCAAGAGTCAAACAAGACTCTCAAGAGTCAAGACTCCTTTCTGGCATGGCATCGATTAGAGCAAGTTCCACGGAGATATTCATTTACTCAATTCAATTTTTTGTTATCATGTATGAGATATTCATTTACTCATTTCAAATTGCACTCGTCTAGTTTATTTGTATTCATTTTTATATTTAATAATAAGATGCTTCGTTTCATTTCATTGTATCCATGTTTCAGAAATTTTTATGTCCAAACAAATAATTTAGTCCTACGTTCAAACCAATAAATTTTGCCAACTGATTATACTTGGTTGTTTATTCATGATGGATCAGCATCTCTAAATCATGGACCTTTACAATTTTGACCATCTAACAACAAATCCAACTTCGACAATAAATAAATAAATATAAAGGATCATAAGTTACAAGCCATAATTTAATAGAAATAAAGGTCTCTCTCTCTCTCTCTCTCTCTCTCTCTCTCTCTCTCTCTCTCTATATGATTAGCTCATCTTCAAGAAAACTGTATTCAAAGATAAACTCTGTCTTGATTCTCTGGCACCTGAGTACAAAATGAAAACACAAGTGTGTCAAAAATGTCACCAATAACAAAGTATACCACATGCTTATTTGATACAAGTTAGTTAAGTTGCAAACACTAGGTTAAATAGAACAATAATCTATCAGGAATTCCAAACCAAAATAGTTCATAGAGTTGTCACAATATTAGAATGGGAGGATATCATGACAAGCAAAAACAATAAAACTTCATCAACGATTTTTTAAGTAAAGATTGCTTTATAGGCAAATGGAACTTGAAAACTTAAAAACATACCATCCCTGTTGTTCGTCACTGGAAATATGGAAGTCAAAGTAGACATATGTCCCCTGTTCAAAATCATCTGTGGCAACTTTTGGCTCTTCGTGCCGTTGGAACCATGAATTGAATTTTCTGTGGTACCTCCAAGACTGCTTTTTCAATTCCTTAGCAGCCAAGTATTGCTGGTAAGTATTCTGCACGAAAGGTTTAGCATAAGAACGAGATCAAACACTAAATTACAAGTAAAGAGAATAGAATTTCAAGTGACCTACCTGTTGATAGTAAAATGAAAAGAAGAGCATATCAGTGGCATAAGAATCTGGACCAAGCCGCTCCCAGAAGGCAGGATTATTGACAATTGGCGCTTGCACTTGAGGATAACTCTGAGGAGTGATTACAGGGTGTCTCTGTGAAAAGCCAAAGTAAGCATTCTCAAGTACTGAAGAGAAACTCATGGATGGAAAAACAAATATATATATATAGTAGATGAGCTAGCTGCATACTGGAGTATAGGTCCTTGCACGTTCAGAATCTTTGGGTTGAGGAAGTCTATAATAAGCAGCCTCGAGCATCTGCAAATTGTATATCTGATCGTGCATTCCTCCCGAATTTGCAGTTGATGCACTGATGTTATCTCCAATAGCACCGAGATCAGATACACTTCTTCGACCAATAACACCAAGACTTCCAGAAGATGAAGCTGGTTGCAAAGGTTGCCCTGGAGAAAGGTCGGTTTCCCTCATCACCTGGGAAGGTTCAACAAGTGGTCCAGAAGCAACTGCAGCCTGCTTGTAACCAATTACATATCAAATAATATTTTTTTGTAGCACAAAAAAGATTTATAGAAACAACTTTATATGAACTACATAAATATGATTACACCATAATAAATCCAAGTTCAAGGATTACTTCAAGGAGTTGTTGGGTAATAGCACAAGTTCCCACAATATTCACAATTGTGCAAAATAAAAATTACACCATAATAGCACAGGATAGACACAGTTATACAAAATATATCTTAATAGAGCCCTTTAAACATCAAGCCAAATAAAGTTTTACCACATAATTTTCAATGTTAATTAGAGAGGAACATAAATGAATTTCCACAATTAAAAAACAGAATAATTTTTTTACACATACTGTAGTATCTAAGGCATGGGAAGTTTTCATTTCATCATCTTGCACGAGACTTTTTCCTAGGCCGGAGTTAGAACTATAATCTGGCGCCAAGTCTTCTGTGAGAGGCTGTTGCTGCTGCAATTCCTCAACTTTTGTAAGGCTAGTTTCTGCACATGTAAACAGATTACATCATTTATTACAATGTCGCGATCAGACAACTGACTGATGCAATTTTATACACTATGGCTAGACAAGCATACATAGTTAAAACTTAAAACAGTAAACGGGAAGACTTCCTATAGATCGTGCAGTCACATAAAACAGAAAAATTAGAACCTGTTGCAATTTGGATAAGCATAAATTTGTATCAAGTTAAACTTCCAGACCCCGTTTGATAAATTAAATCAAATTTAAATGAATTAAGATAATTCTAAATGAAACCGCATCACATACCATTTTGACCATTTCGAGATGAGATTTTTTATGACAATATTATCAAGTATATATTACAACTATCTAAGGAACTCCATTATTTTTACAGAGTATGACAGTAGCAAAAGGTACCAGACTAGTCGTTCAGAAGTCTCCGGTTCCAAAAAAAGTATGAGATATATTAAACAATCAAAATCCTCTGTTTTATAAGATTTCGTTTTATGTCTTAGGAATAAGATAATTCACTATTTCTATCAGAGGTGGGACCAGAAATGTCAGAATTAAAACATATAGACCAAAATTGACCTGGAATCTCCTAGTATTATCATGTTTCAAAACATGTGAATGATAATACACCTTAATGTTTCAAGCTCCACCATACAAGTGTTGTACACATTGTCTTAGCGAGCAAAAGTACCTGCATCCTTAGATGTTGAAGATATGACTGCCTGCTGATTAGATGATTGGTGTATTGCACTCGGTTGTGGCTGCAGAGAAGCAGATGTTGCAACACTGCTAAGACCTGAAGTTTGGACTCCTATCCCCATCCCGAGTTGAGGTGAGATAGACGAGCTTTGAGCATTGAACTGAGAGGGGTTATAACAGGTGAGAAAAAGTTTCAACAAATCAATGAGTCTAGAGGGATAGAAAGTGTTTCAAAAAAATATGTCCCAGCAAAAATATCAGATATTAAGATTAGGATGATTGTATCGAATGTAACATTTCTTCCAAACTTTGTGACATATTCTCTTTTAATCTATTCTAGTATACAAAATAAACTTCACTAAGAGCTGCGGAAAGTCATAAATATGCAGAATAGACAAAGAGAGTGCTTTGCTATGCACAAGCGGTTGCATGAGTGGAATTCTCTTTTAGATGACCACAGTTTAGAAATCCCTAAGGCGCCACTTCTAGACATTGTCACCACCCCCCACCCCCACAAAAAAAAAATATTTAAACATTTATGACACAGATTCCCAGCCACATGTGTGGTAAAAAGATAAGCCAAAGATGCTAAGAAAAAAGAGTAAGACGAAGAATGTGATGAATAAACAATAGCACCTGCTGTAGAAGTAGATTCTGCTGCTGAGCAGAGTACTGCTTCCCCCCAGCAAGAGGAGGCATGCCAAGAACATTAGTCTGACCTTGCTGCTGTACCTGCTGAAATCGTTGTAGAAACTTCTCCCTTAGATCGGGAGCAATCTCGGTTCTTCCACGAAACTGCCCCTGAGACACAGAAGGTTAACTTACTTCCAAGACGATTAATAGTTTTACGATCAAGTCTTAGCAATCAAATGAACCAATTTATCAGCAATGCGACCAGTACCATCCCTCATATTCTCCTTTTGGAATCATACTTCAACTTTTCCCCATCCCATTAGGTCACATTTTTGTTTCAATCTATCTCCTTCTTATGTTGTACCTATTACCAGTTGAATCCCTAATATGTATCTGCTTTGTTTCTTAACAAACAAATCTTATCACTGTACTAGTGTATTTGTATTCAGTTCATATCTCCTATTTACAAATTTCTAGGTTTAACATAAAGTGCTGGAAGAGCTAAATCAAATACTAAAGCGCACATGAACCCAAGTCATTCTCTTCTTGCGCCATTGACATAATCCAATCAAATCCTTCATACCTTGCAGAAAACTCAAAAGAAAGACGAAAATGATGGGAGGGGGATGAAAGGTCAGAAAATAAATCAATAACATACCGCTTCATTCTGGTTCTGGAAGGAACTTCCGGGCCTCCACTGCATACCAGGAACAACAGGAGAAGTGAAAACCCTGCTGCCCATAATCGCAGCATCGCTAACATTTCCAGTATCAGCTGATCCAAGTCCATCACTAGCCTTGGCAGCTTGTGACAAGATTACTCTATTGCCTAGGGGAGATACAAGAGACTGTGCAATACCACTGCTCGCGGATCGATCATCGGATACCAAAATATTCCTTTTCCCAATTTCAGAACCCAAAGGAATGGTACCATTGCTGGAAATTGTGTTTCCAGAACTGGGAAGGATGTTAGAAGTTGGTTGACTTGGCAATCCACCTTTACCAATAGCCCTTAATCCAGTTTCAGCAAGAGCTGGTGATGATTTACGACCAGGGAAGTTTGCGATCTCCTCTTCTTTTATAGGACTTGATACAGCTACTGGGGATGAAGCACTGCCGGCACCTAAGTTTTAAGAAGCACAAAATAGGAACTTAACCCAAAAAAACACGAGAGGAACTCATAGACCAGCAAAGTTATAGTTGACCAACTTGTGATGGCAGAAGCTGCAAGGCCAGATGCTGGCGTTTGTGGTGCAGAAATACTGAGGGAACTACTTTTAGGAGGTGGAGTTCTAGCAACTGCATCATCCTGGAAAGCTGTTTCATCCACCTGGTCGAGGGAAGGAGGAGTTTGCTGGACGGAAGCTGAGGTTGTTGCCTGGAAAGGATACCATCTAGTTACATCATAGCAGAGATATAAAATAGCATAGATTTCAACACCATGCAAAGATGACTGAATAAAGAGAAGTCAAAGTCCTGCAGATGATCAGAAGTAAAAGAACAGGAAAGAGATGTCAAACTCATATAGTCCTGTGGGAGAGCACACATTGTTCGGTAGTAAAACAACATAATACTCCTCAATGTGAAGAGAAATAGCATAAATAACAGATGCAGACTTATTAAACTATATCTAGCAGATGAATCATTCATAATCAAAATGAAGTGGAAGTTTCAAAATAAACAGCCTAGGTTATAGGTTAAGATCGAGGAAAAATAATGGGTAATAATGCAGAGAACAAACAGTTGATCATTAAAAGCCAAGTGGGGTTTGAATTTGCAGCTAATCTGTCAGTTCATTTCTTTCTAGAATATACTAATTTGTAATGCTTCGTGTGACAAGTGTACTAAGTAAATATGCATTTTCATGATTGAATGAACTATTTTCTCAATTGTTCTAATAGAATCAAAACCCTCCTCAGTATTTGGAAATAAACGTACTGGAGGAGTGGGTACTGCAGCCAAAGATGTTTTCATATTTAAAACTGCACTGGTGGCACTGGCACCCTGCCAATAATAAAACAATGTGATTAGCATTTCAGCTTGAATGTTTCCTATTAATTTCTAATGAAAAGGAACAAAAGTTTGTTCTGATGACAGTACAAATCAAGAATCTCAACAGGAAAAGAAGGGACTGCTACGCAAATCCTAGTCTAATTTGTTCTGTATTTATGTGTTTACTTTCTCAATTTTAATGGTATTATAGTCTAAAAGACAATTTGGAACTATATACCCCTCAATAAATGATCTACACAAACATGGGAAATACTGGAATGGCATGTCTAGAAAATTTATTGGAAAACGAAGATAGAGAGACGCACAGAGAGAAGAACTAAATAAATAAATAAAATTACACTAAAGTTCATGAAAGAGAAATAATTACGAGAGAAGCCATTCACCTTTACAAGACCAGGAGGACCGATAGTAACTAGGTCTTCAAGAGACTCCACCTTGTCCAGAGGTAGAGAACTGTAAAGCTCATCGACATCACTAAATTCATCAAAGTCCTCCTACATATTGCATGTCAAAAGGAAAGTATAATTAAGCTTAACCACCCAAAAACCTTTACATTTCTCAATAACTACAACCAAAATTGGAAATGTAAAGACTTAATCATTTCAGAGATCGCAGACAATACAACCTGTAGGGGAGCTAAATCGTGTGAACAGGACATTAACGCAAACTGACTAAAAGTACCTGATTTCTTTCCACGTAGTCATCCAAGAAATCCTTTACATCATTGACTTGCTCTGGGCTCAATTCATCGTTGTCCAACAGCCTTAGAATTAATTCTAACTTCATAATATGAGCCTTATGCCGACCAATGGATGTCTCCAGATGCGTCTACAACCAAAATAACAAAAAGAACAGATATTTTCATAGTCTAAGCTCAAGTCAGTTGATCCAAATTAAGACGCATGTCCTTCTTTCCAAACATACCAGTCTGGGAGGCCTTGTCTTCCCTTTCTTAACAGAAAGCCCCTCTATTTCAGCTTCAAAGCTATCAATTTGATTTTCCAGCTCGCTGACCTACTCAATACAAACATAACATATTTAAAAAAACTATTAAAAAACTTATTTGGAAGGCGGAATAATAGATTACAGTATGCAATTCAATGTCTGAAGTAAGAATCGGTAAAATGCTCTAGTTTTCTCTCTGGAACACAAACATATGATGTTCCATAATCTAAAGGGGCAATTTTATATCCAAAAGTACCCTAACATTTCAGCCATCGACTCCTGACAACTACTTTAGTGGACAAGAATATACAGATAATTGAACTTTCAATGAGATCATCAAGACATGAACAGTTAAACAACTGAAAGCATGACAACAATTGCAAATAAACTGACAAGTAGAAAGAAAATCAAATAATATGCATTGGCTTTAACCAGTACAGCTTCACTTGCCAAATAATCAAATTATTGAAACTACAGTTAAATGTAGGAAGATGGAAAACTGATGAACATGGATGAGATAATTTTACATGCTAGACAGCCTCTATGCTTATGCAATCCAAGTGAACAACATGCAAGCAAAATTTCAGGGGCATTACCACATTATTTAACCAATCTCTTGTTTCTCCTTTAGCTTTTTCCTTCGGATCCTACAGCAAAGAAAGATATGCATGCTCAGAGAAGTTAGAATATTCTAAACACTAACCTAACACCAGCAGGCTTTACATGCTTAAATTGATTGCACGAGATAGCCCATATAATAAAAAAAATCCCTAATATCCATGATATTTCTCCCTCTTCAACTATATTACAAAGAAGTGACCGTATAGTTACATTTTGACGGATGATTGATATTATTCACTTGACATTAATTTTAATCAACTTGTATATATTGAAATATTAATTTTCAGCAATTACCCGTTGCACCCCTGAAGGATGTGAATTGTAATGAAACTTACACCAGAATACAGGCATTGGGGATGTTTTGAACATCCAGAAGCAAAACAACTACATAATGCCTACCGTTTTAGGCTGCTGGCCTAGGCCTTCTTTTGAGAATGCTTTTGTCTTCGTTTCTTTTTCACATATCTTAAATCGTTCCATTTCACGCTCAATTTGCTTTCGAGCGTCCATCAGAGCCTGCTCATAAGAGGCACTAACCTAGTCAACAGGTATCAAAAGAAAATTGATTGTCAACATCGGAGAAATAAGCATAGACAAGATGAAGATAATACCAGCTACTGCAAGAAGAACCAAAGAATATATTATAAAACTAAATCCACCATAGAACAATGAAAAACAATTCGCCGAAAAAGAAGTGCAAAAGAGTATGCCAACAAGAGAACAGGAGTAGGAGCAACAATCAATAAAGTGCATAAATGCATGAGAAACAAGAAAACGAAAAGCCTGGCCAACTTGAATAAGACAGTTCAAACTCTTCAAATTGTATTCATAAAAAAATTGATACGGTAACTAGGCTGCCAGTTAGGAATTAGGATTGCTAAAAAATATATACTAAAAATAAATAAGCCACAAATTCTAGGAGAGTAAAGAAAACGAGGGGATTAGATAATAAGGTACTAGTTTAGCAGTAGATATACCTTCTTATCCTTGATCTCGCTGGACTGTATCCATGTTTTGATCTGGTCTCTGTATCTCTGTAGCTTCTTTATCTCCTTCTTCAAGTCCGCCTCGAATTTTTCTTTCTGATTTGCATTGTCCGTATCATAGACCTGTACAAACAGAAAGTATAAATTCAACCAAAATTATGATTTCCCCTTGTTTCAAAATTCAATAATGCGACCTTGTTCCAGATGCTATCAAATACATCGACGCCCTCTTGAACCTTCTTGAGAACTCGGTCGATCTCCCCCTGCAGCTTCCGACTTGCACCCATTTCCAACTGATAAAGAACAGCTTAAGAAACGGTCACTGGTCATCCAAAACACCACTAGGGCTTTCAGGAAAACGATGAGGAAACTAATATTAATACAATAATATAAATATAATAAAAATAAAAAAGAGAGAGGGGATGAAATTGAATTGATTTTCTTCCTTGCTCTTTAATCTCCCAGCCGCTGTTACTGTAAAAGAGTTTCTGTTTCTCGAGAAGTAAAGGTTCCTCGCTCAATATGGGCTTTTACTTGGGCTTTGTCTTTGGGCGAGTGAACTAGTTCTCATACTAACAATTTCACTTCTTTTAAGTTTTTTCAAATATATCGAAATAATATGATCATTTAATAATTTAATATATATATATATATATATAATTGGGTGAGCCCAATAAACCTACAATTTCTTTACTTACCTGGTCACGAGACCGATTTAGAAAAACACTATTACGAAAGTCCAATCACCTTCAAATAAGGTTTGGGCCCAACAAATTAACCTCAGCCCAATCGACAAGGTATAAATAACGATTTAATTCATTAATTAATGGGACACCCTATTATCTGAAAAAGAATACAATTTATATTCTCTCAACTATTTCTACTATCCGCACGTCTGACTGTAGCGTCGGAGGGGTTTCCGCCGTATAGACCCCTGGCCTAGTTCACGTGTCCTCTGTTCACAGGTATCTGAGGACCATCTAGCATGTGAGCAGTGATCCACTTTGCTCTCCCAGCTCCTTCTACATCAACTACTTAAGGTGATTTATTTCTAGCATTATCATAATGGCGCCGTATGTGGGAAAGCATACAAGATCACGTAGCGCGCATGATGTCTCTGAGTCATCTACTCGGAGAAAACGTGACAATGCTAACAACCTCCCACCTCGCGGAGGCTCTGGCTTGCCACTTCCTCCTCGTAATTAGGATCCACCTCGTGAAGTCCAGATAAATCCCCACAGGATCCACCACTCCCCGCTCCTCAAACGGTTCAGATAACCGAAGAGGCCCTCCAACACATGATTGCGGAAGCTTAAGCTCGTGCTACCACTGAAGCAGTGGCACATTACATCGCCACAGTAGGAGTCAACGCTCCCCCTGCAACTCAACCCATGGCACAACGACCTCCACCGCCACGGATACCGCATCCACCTCAAACCCTGGGTCTCGGATGCAACAATCTACTCATCGCTGATGCACGAACTGGGCGACGAGACCCACATTCACCTCTAAGAGGCAGCGCCTCTCGTCAACGAGCTCCACCACACAATGATGGAGAGGATGAAATTAACAGTCGAATATCTCGCTCGAACCACTTTCCCCGCATAGGTAATCCTATTGGTGGAAGGGCAATACCTTCAATAAGGCGAAGCCCCTTCACTGTCGCAACAATCAATGAGATACTACCCCAACGGGTAAAGGTCTCGAGTACACCGCAATTCGATGGAACTAGTGACCTACATGAGCACCTTGAAAAGTTCTACGCCATGGCAGAACTATATGGCCCAACTAATGCGACGATGTGCAAGATGTTTTGTACAACGCTCTCCGAACAAGCATTGAGCTGGTTCAATACCTTGCCCATTGGGTCAATTGAAGCTCTCTCCGAACTGACGGATCGTTTCATCCGTCATTTTGCTATCAACAAAGAGTACGCTAAGTCTGACGCCCACTATACTGTATTTGTTTTTGTAATAAATAAATACAATGACTTCCAAAAAATACAATGTCTCTCACTTAATTTCTCAACAATAAAATCAAATACATGTGACAACCAAATGCCACAACTAACCTCGTATTCATAGTTCTCGAATTACAATCATTCTTAAACACAACTCTATATTAAATGAAATCTCTAAAATATCTGAATAACTTCTACTCCTAAGAGCCATCAACAATATCGTCCACTAATGCACCTGTTACTGAGAATAAGATGGAAAATAAAGGAGGAGTAAGTCCAAGTGGACTTAGTGAGGAGTACAAGGAAAAAATAGTGGAATCAAGTAATAAGGATAATAAGAAAACAATGGACAAGTCGGACATGATATTGGAATTGGACCATCTAGAGAAGGATCATTTGGTAAGATACAAAGCCAAAGTATGAGAGCACAACAATCTGATCAGAATAAGTAATACAATCAATATGTACAAGTAGAGAACAATTTCAACGGGAAATTCCCGGATATCAAATATATATTTCGTGGAGATTCCAACGGTAACAGTTCTGGATGTCAAATGTGAGACCATGGAGATTTCTATGGTAATAATTTGTTCATGTACATGTACCTATGTACCTGTATCTGCCTTGTGACTCCCTTAGCCGTTACAACCTTATAACACCGATCAAGGAGCTACCCTACTAATCGATCAATAGGCATGCCCGGGCGCATGCCAATCCATCCATCAGCACAATCAACCTCCAACTATGCCAATAGTCTGAATCCAATATGGGTACTGTCGAAGAGACCAAACACCGTCGCCCCAATACCCACAGTAGTCTTTTTCGAACAGCCCCGGGCCCACTGTTCAATTATCCTTAGGGCGTCCCCAAAGGAATCAATAGTATAGAGATATCAGATATGCTTCCGACTATCTCAATTTACAGTTTGAATCCCAATGATGGTTCCACTTTGGAAAGAATAAATATCATAGTTCAATAGTTTTGGGATTCCAATAACAAGTGATAATATCTTGTGGTCACAAAATCACAAGTCAAGAAGTGTAGGATCACTGGTTTCAATAAGAGAGTGACCACAATTCAAAATCGTATAATAATTGATGAAGATGGATCTCAATCAACAATAGTCTACGGTTAAAATAGAGTCCGTAGTTTTATAGCTCGAAAGACAAGTGGTTTCAAAGGATCAATGAGAAGTAAAGATATGAACGGTCCATCAATTCACAACGAATGATTTAATGGATAAACGCAATAATCCTAAATGGTCCAAAAGTTGGGAAAAGAACGATTTACTTTCATTGAACCACTGTAGAAACAAATCAAATGATTTAATGAATCAAAATAAAAGTGGTTCCAACTAGTACAAGTCAATATATGAGACAGTTCACAATTGATAGATAATCAGACTGAAACTCCAAATTATTCAAGACTCGATAAAAGAGATCGATTGAGTAGTCAAAGAATCTGGATGATAAATTATTGGAATAAGTCTCGAATCAAGATGAGAACTTATTTGAATAGTTCGAGGAAGAAGATACGAACCATTAAGAGAATTCTGAATAAATCATTATTTTCAATAATTCAAGAATCAAAATATAATACGATAGGCAACAAGTAAGATATATCACATTTAAGTGATCAAGAAACAATAACGGATATCTTATTCTCAGTGTGCATTCTATTTTTCCAATAAGTAATAGTGAATAAATAGAGATCCTCACCTGAAGTCCAATGCAAGTGCTATAAAAACACCTTATTCTCGAGTCATGCTCAAGTGTTGAATGAGAGCATAAATATACTCAACACCTATCAAATATTAGAATTAAATAAGTTATCGAATGCTAACATAATCGTTTACTATCCACTTATATTTCATATAAACATCCTAACTTAAATCTTATGCCATAACCGACAATCGAACATAATATACAATTTCTATGGCGTTCTATTTACCAAATACAACCCACTCCAGGCATCAATTCACATGGTACGGAGTTAACTCGTGTTTGTTTTGACGAGTTCTCGAAACAAAGGTTTAAAATATCTGTGTCCACAATTTCTTTGAAAAATCATAACAATTGGTACGATTATCCAAATTGGGAAAGTAATATGCCAAATGAAAGCTAATAACTGCATCCACATGTGTTGGTATAATTAATAACAATCCGCGTAAACGAAAAATACTTACTTGTTTATCGAAAAGACGAATTGTGGAAAACACAAAGAACGATCGAGGCTTGCCAAAGCAATTCCCTTAAGACAATAATTATGGGCTGTCAACGGTGCACAGTCTCTTCCCGGTAGTCTCCCAAGGTACAACAATCGGTTGTCAAATATTTGCACGAATATTCGACCCACGGCGAACTTGAACAACGAACGAAACTTTGACGAAGGGAAAGAAGAATATGAAGACTATCTCGTAATTGTCGATTAAATTCAGTACAGAATTGGCCAGATTCTGCCTTTATTTATAGGTGGTAGAGATCCATTCATAGAGGGTTGCAATGGTTGGAAGAAGAAGTAGAAAGTTGTGTCTGTTCTTTTCACCGAGTTGAAAAACGTAGGAAAATGAATTGGTCATGGGCCAATTAATTAAATATTTGGTTTGGGCCCAATATCTTATTATTTAGATTTTGGATCAACTAATTTGACTAATTACTAAATGTCCCCAAAAGTAATAATTGTGGACACCTAAACCCAAACTATCAACTAATTTGACTAATTACTAAATGTCCCCAAAAGTAATAATTGTGGACACCTAAACCTAAACTAGTCCTATCACTCGATCATATCGAGCGCACATCTTTTGAACTTTAACCATTTAATCAAGACAATTTTCATTCACTTTACTTCATGATTATGATCAAGTAAATAAATGAAATTAATCTTTACATAATTTAATTAATATTACTCAATATTAATTATTGGAAATCATGAAAGTTCCAACAACATGTTCACTGAAGACTCGATCACAATTTGTGATCCCAACATATTCAAAACAGCCCCAAAAGATGATTACAGAAATCAGCCAGAATTTTGGATAAATTCTCTTTTCGAGTGCAGTTTATTGTAAAATTCATAACTATTTGTAAAGTTATCAAAATTGGCCAAACAATATACCAAATCAAAGCTGAAAAATTCATCTAAAAGTTAACTGAAGAAACATATCCCAAATTATTACTCCAACATAGCATAAACAACCCCGTAATACGAATGCTCAAAACTGCCCTGTTCTTTTTTACAGATTTACTGTCACTTGATTCGGACCTCTAATCAGCTATAAAACATACTCTAACTCGACACAATTTAACACTTACCAATAGTTTTTGAGTTCCTCTACGAGTTTTGTGAAGGAATTATTCTTAAATCTCACTCCCGTTCCTTCGATTTTGGCTCAAAAAACAGGTGCGGTAGCAGATTTACTATCTCTCCGAATTTCGCCAACATAGCTGTCGGGTTAAATTTGGTTATATATAATAATTAAAATTTGGGGAAAAGATGATATTCCTATAATTTTCGAGCTGCTCTACAACTTTTTGCCGGATTCCGGCGACCACCAGTGACCTCCGCCGGCGAAATTCACCCCAT